AGAGGGAAGTCATCCGAGGCGAAGCCCCGGATATCATGGCATAACTAATGACATATCCATATAGGGAAAGATGTGAATGAGGTAAATATGGTAGTGACATCCAAAAGAAGCTCAAAAAACCGAAGGATTACGTTTTCATGACCGTTTTTTGCCAAAAAGACTTTTATTCAAAAATTCAATGAGGAACTGGAGCAAAATTTCTCAATTAAACTTTCTCTAGACTTCGAGTGAGCGTTGGAAGTTCATTAAAGCAGCTGGAGTTAAATAGAAATGAGAAACTGCGCTCAAATCTTGCGCAGAGAGTCGCTACTTAAATGCTGGTCTATCTCGTTATGGAGTGATTTCCAAGACCCGCGACGTTGTCAGTCCTCCTGGGCGTCTCATGAGGATCACAACGATATATAATGTTATGGTTTCGTTATGATCCTGCGGAGATCAATGACCAGAGCCAAATGCCCCGCCGGCTCTGATCTGTCTCCGCTGCTCGTCTGCGTCTCCGCGACTTGCGCGCTACCTCGCTACCCCAAAAGCGGGGCGCGGGGCATTTGGCTCTGGTACCCTTTTCTTCGTTGTTGAGAGCCCAATTTCGACAATCTATATATCATATTAAAGCTCTTGATCTCTATTTTCACGCTGACAACGTCGCAAGACTCCTTTTTATGATTTAAACGAGAAATATAGGAAAAACGGAGTTTTCGAAAACCTCTTGTTTTTTCTTCAGTTCAACTCTTTTCACTCGGTTTTTTTTGTGTATTCGATAGGTCTTGTTTCTGTCTATGATGTAGACAACGTCGCCGAGCTTACTTCTTTGCTTATGCCGGTTTTTTTTGTGGAAATTACCAAAAAGTGGTTTTTCTTTATCTTGTTCTTTTTCAATGCTTTTGCAACGAATTTTCTCCAGCTTGGACGTTACTTGCTCAGAAGGATGAGCGGAAGAATCCAGACAACGTCGCAGGATACGAAACGACCATGCGGGGGTGAAAATTTAAAGGACGCGTCAAAAATCAGATTGGCGTCGATGTGCAGCATAACTTTTCGGACATGTTTAACATGTTCAGTTCAGTTGTTGAAGTTGTTGACAAGTTTGCCTTCTTTCGCTCTCCCAACTACCGCCACAGCCAACGCTTTTTTTCAATTAGAAAAGAACTTTGTTCCTGTTGCCACCCAATTTAACCGGCAATTCTGAAGACAAAAATGTGCGTAGGAAACCACCAAGTTAAGGTTCTAAATTTGGTGATGTGATAGCCTCTGTTTTATATGAATTTTTCAAGTTTCCTGGTTCAGTTCAAATCTCTAAATTATCTATTTTTTCTAAAACAACCTTCACTATTTATAGGGGCAAGAACTCAAACAACTATCACTTTCTAGGCTCTGTCTCTTGACTATCGAAGGTATGGTACTATGAGTTAGCATTGATTTTACAAAGCAAGTGAGGGTTTACTGGTTTGAAATAACAAGTTTCGAGTTTTTCGGGTACAGCCTAGGGGGTCGCTAAAGAAATGAGTTATGATGATTTCTCCCCGAAAACTAAACGAATCGGAAACAAAAAACACCTGCTAGAAAGAGGAGAAAATGCTGCATCGAATAGTGCGCGAGCTGCTCTTCTTTTGATGTTCTACGAGGTTTAGCTGCCCAAGTATGGAAATCGGTAGCATCAGTTAAAATTCTGTTAAAAATTATGACAAGCTATGGAAAGGAGAAAAAAGTAGTTTCGCATTCTGTAGGGTTTGCTCTATAAAGCCGTTACTTGCACTTTCATGGAAAGTTGATATGAAAGTTTTAAAAAATCGTGAAACTTGACCATCTCAAAAATCATGGGTCGCAGATTTTGGTTATTTTCTGAAAGCTCATTGACTGTTTTGCAAAAATTTCATAACCATTAGAAAGAGAATGAAAATCTGCATCGAATGCCTCCAAGATCTCTTAAGAACCTTTGTTCCATCAAATGAGGCGCCCGTTTGAAAAAAGCGAAATTACTTTTGAAACGACCTAATATATCTGGACTTATCTGGTTGCTTTGCCATATATTGTTTTCATTGTAGTTAGCTATACCTCTTCTTCCGCAAATGCTGATAGTGGTCCTTCTGATTAAGCTTCTGGAATGTGGCTAATTTCGGTCTGTGCTGACCATTTTTTCGAAGTAGGCTCCAACTGCGTTCTTTCTAGTTTCCTTAGCGTTTTACCAAATTTGCTTTTGATATGATCCTCTCTCTCACTTTACGCATCGAAATTAGTTCAGTGCAACAAACGTTTCACTCGTAGCACGTGCTTGCGTGCAAGGCAAGCGTGCTTCTTTCATTCTAGAATAAAAAGATAATGACAGCCTTCTAATGTTCCGGCCCCACGCTTTACTGTCTACGCTGAAGGCGATACATGCAGTCAGCACTTAAGCTCTCAAACAAATCGGTTCCCGCTTCAGCTGATTGTTGTAATTACGGTACCTCCGCGAAGAGACTGCTTTGCGCATGCAACCAGGTTTAGGGTGAAAGGACCAGCTTGCAAAGAACAATTGTTAAGAATTTGTCAAAAATCGTCTAAAATCCGTGAGAACAGTTGATATCAAAACTATTAAAGCTTTAATGTGTTCCTCAATGCTTTCTTTTGTTTACTTGGTTGTCAGGTGCATGCGGTTTGCGATGTTCTTGATCTGTTACCACGATTTCAGATGTAGTCAGTTTAGGAGCAATGCACTTACGTACTTTCTCTTTACAGTTATTCACCTGGTATTCGTTTGCTTTACTGCATCTAAAACGCCATTGTACTCTGGTTATGTAGTTCATAGTAGCCCAATTCAAAATGTTACAAAAGCTTTGAATTTTTGCGTTATTTAGTGTGTGTGCCTTTCTTTCAGTCCAAACTGCTTCTTTGCAAAAAAGGTTTGCAACATCTAAGATTACGAACCTCTTTCACTATCTTTTGTCTTTTCTCCCGAAAAGTACCCAATTCTTTAGTTAGTGTTTGCTAAGTCGAGTTCCTGCTAATTCGAGCACTTCGCTACACTGAAATGTGGCAATCAAAGCGACTTCCATTTTCTTAAATTACCTTATTCGCGTAAACGCGTTTTTTTCAAAATCGAGCAGCCCAGACACTCTTAAAAAATCGAAGAAGATGGGCCTTGAATGCGTGAAAGTAAGGTACCATAAACTGATCTGCCACACACAAACGAGGGTTTTGAGTAAAAGTAGCCTTTTTGGACAATCTCTGTTTTATTATGCAGAAATTCAAATGCTGACTACTAATGTTCCTTCGTTATCTGGTCTGCGCCTAAGCGTCAAGTCACGAGGAATTCTTGAGCGATGAGCGCACAAGTTCAGATAAAGCAATATAAATATGAGGATCAAAGTAGAAAGTGTGCATTACATAAAGAGTTCTATATATATCATATAGATCACATATCCTAAACACTGGTTAACTCAAGCAATTTCATCCTGCAATCCCAAACGAACTTTAGTCTCTTAAATACAAATTATTTTTCGATATGCAATAAAACGCTTTCAAAGGCAGTGGATCAGCAGAATGGACCCTTCTGCGATTTGGGTAGACAAGGTAGTAGACCCCCAAATACACTGTAGCCCGAACCCCATCTGCCAATTCGTGCGCTAAGTCCTGAAAAATGCGCTTCAAAACTCCACCAGCCTCGCCCACTCAATGAGAAGGGGCGGGGCTGGTGGAGTTTCGAAGCGCATTTTTCGGGACTTAGCACATGAATTGGCAGACGGGGTTCGAGCTACAGTGTATTTGGGGATCTACTACCTAGATCCACTCAAATCGGAGAAGGGTACATTCTGCTGATCCACTGCCTTTGAGCACTTCTCTTCTTCTTTCATTACGCTGCTTTATCATTTCTGCCTCTTTCTTCACCAAAATTACATATCTTAAGCAGAGTTTAGGATGCAGATTGCTGCATCAAAGTTGTTGCTTTAAATATGCAAGAGGTTCTTTTCAGAAATTAACACAATGAGGGTAATATACAGGATGCTCGTTCTCTGTGCCGTCGTAGCAAGCTACGAAGCTGCATTGTAAGTGTTTTGTTCCATTTTGATAACTTATTTCGAGATGAAAAGCTAGAAGAAACGTAAATACCTTGTTACACAGATTACGCTTGCATCATAAAAGCCAAGTCACGGAAAATCAAACGCGCATGCTACAAGTGTTTTCCTTTGTGAAGAAACGGTTGATTTGGGAAAAAACTGGGAGCTTGCATAATCAAGAATTCTCTGCGCTTGATTCTTTTACTCTTGCACAATGCGAGCAGTTTACACAAAATCAACGTCTGGGTTATCCTCACATGTATAAAACTTTTGACAGTCCGGTCGCTCAGCGATTATTTGTACCAAAATTTCAGCAATTTCCAAAATGAACTGTATGAACTGCATTTGTGGCATTGTTTTGATTCTGGATGAACTTTAGTCACAATGATGTTATCAGTAATTTAATTGCGATAATCTGTTGAGAACCCTCAGGCCTGAGGCGCACTTCAAGCGATTTCAGTTGTTGCGCGGTCCGGCACTGCAGCGATCCTTTATAAATGGAACGTGAACGCGGTTTACTTGAACAATGATGAGTTTGTTACTATTTACAAGTACATGCCTTTGCATTCGAAAACAGCGCATGGTAAATGTGTGGACGTCTCGCAATTGCCAGGTCCAGAAGTTTCAAAGATTTGACGGAATCGCGGAAGATATGCCTTAAGTCTCACAAGGGAAGGAAGACGCTTGCCCAGGAAATTGGAAGCCACTGAGCCACAGTGCATCCCTACCCAAAAAGCCAGTTTTAGGTAGAAGACTTAATGTCACCACTGCCAAACATATGTAGTAAGCTGGTTTCACCTCAGTGAAAAACATTCCGCATAGTGAGAATTAGTAACGGGAAAGGATGCGGAAATGTATGAGCCTTTTTAGATAAGCGCACAAGTTTATGTCTTCAAAAACAACATGTTATGGGTTTTATGCTAGGTCGTTGGATCCAAGTAAGTAAATAATGCTGTTGTTTTCAGCGCAATGGACTCTCTTATTGAAATGATCAAAGAGAATTTCAAGTCGGATAATGTTGAGCCTCTGGTTTTGACTATCTCATCATCGGTATGGCATCTTCTTGACACCGAACAAGCTACTATCAGTAAAACCATGAGCTCTATCTCAATTCCGGAAATTAGTGGGAAAGTGAGTGCTAGTAAGTGCTCCTACAGCTAATGAGTTTTATTTTAAGATAAGCAAGTTCCAATACAAAGTATCGGATGCTAAGATCGAAATGTTTTCTCTTCCTAGCAATGGTATATCTTTCCAGAAATACGATCACGGAGTTTATCTTAAGGTGAGACAGTTTTATTCGATATTGGTTGATTTTCATGCTTCTAGATAAAAGGAGTACAATTCAGAGCTAGCGCGAAAGCAAAGGTAGGACTCGTAAAAAAGAGCTGTCTGTTATGTCTACCACTTCCTTCTTTGAAAGGCGGGATAATGTGAGCAGTACATGAGGAATTTGAGTAACACTTATCTATCATCCTCATTGTTTAGTGTGACCTCTGAAAATGTATCGCTCGATGTCAAGTTGGCGTGGCACGACTATAAGTTTACACCAAAGATTTCCATGGAATCAAACATCAAACTCAAATTTACTGGCAGTTTGAAACCTCTAAACATTGTAGCAAAATTTGTGGATGTAAAAGCGCTGCTGAAAGACAAAATTGAAAACTTGATCGATAAAAACATAGTAAACAAGGTAAAGTTGCAGTTGCTCGATTATACTTTTCATCCTTTATGATTTTTTCCAGCTTGATAAGGGGGTAAATAGCTTGGGGAACCCTCATTTACAACAGTTAAAAACGAAAATCTCAAGTGCTGGATATAATTTTTTGTTTGAAAGCCCTATTGACTGGACGGTGCGAAACAATAATCTTCGAATCGCTGTAAAATTAAATGGGTAAGTGAGAGAGGAAAAGAGAGAGCAAGAACAGACTTTCATTGCATAGCAGAATGTAGCAGACTCAAAAGCTTTTCTGAGAAGTTTTACAATGCAGTTTGTGCTAAATCTAAAGCATTTGTGCATTCAAAAAAGTGTTACTCCCAATTCGACACAGAGCCAGCGGACGAATCGTGATGGATCTCTGTCCAAAGGCATGCAATTGGTAGAGGGGAGGCTCTAGGAATGGATATTGTCAGTGAACAAATAATTTGCGCTTTGATTCAGGCCATGTCTTGATAGATTCCTTTCAAAAGTTCCCATAAAATGAAACTCGCACGTCCAAATCAAATGACTGCCTCTAACACAACAAAGAATAACAGAGAATAAATCTTTTGTGGTTTTGTTCAAATTTGCCATTAAGCTACCTACTTTTGAACCGAAGCTGATAAGGTAGTAATGGTGTAGAAGAAGTTTGTAAAGAGAAACCGTCTCTTTCTTGAAATGTTTTGAAATGTTGAAATTGAAATGCTAAACAATAAGAAATGAATGACAAACCTTTCGGTAAGCCATTGCTTCTATGCAAATATCTTATATATATAAAGCTGAACGTCCCTTTGCCTGTATGTCTGTCTGTCTATCTGTCTGTACATATGTTCCGAATAGAAGATTTTATTTCTGAACCGATCCGAGCCAAGCTTGGAACACATAAACTTCGGGCGGAGCGGGTGTCGTAGGCTACTTTTCGTTATCGATCGATGTATAAAGTTCAATTTTAGGGCTGAGATTTGGCACAAGGGGATAATCGCAAATTTATCCGTTATTTGATTTTATCGATTTTTTTGCAAAGTTTGAGCTACAGGACTGGGAGCTGGCACAAAGGGAAGGGGTAATCGAGCATGCTGATTACGAATACAACATTAGTTTCCAAATTTATCCGTTACTTTTATCGCTTTTATCGATTTTTTGCAAAGTTTGAGCTACAGGATTGGCAGTTGGCACAGGGAGGGGTAAGCGAGTATGCTGATCACTAACACAGCGGAAACAGGGAACTGGCATATAGTAGTGGGCACAGGGAAAGTATGTGCAGGGGCGAGAGTGAGACCTTTATGTAGAGTTTTGAGAGGGCTGAGTGGTGCAAGTAAGCCAGCTTAATAACATAATATGGTATAGTATAATGAATAATGCCTAAAAGCAAACCAAAATTCAAAATTTTTTTCTCACTGAAGCCTTGGTTTGATTAACGAATTAGTTCCAACGATTTAGAGCAAACAGCACCACTACACAACCCGTTGCACCGTACAATAGAATGGTATGTCTCAGCGCCGATATCGTGCGGATTTTCCTTCCATTGTTCTCAAAAGTGTATTCAGCATCGCGAACGAAGAGGCAAGCGGTAAGCGTTTACATTGGCATTCACTTAGCATAATAGAACGCGTAAGTGAAAAATAGTTTGATTTGAATGCAGAAGTGTCAGACTGCAAAAAATCTTAAGTATTCTATAAGCTTCATTTTGTGGGAAATTCGTTTTGCATGTTGTAATCTCATTGAAAACGAGCTTTTGTTTATCCCCTCTGATTCAACAAGATTGGCGGCTGATGGGCGGGGCTGCTTGTGCTCTTGCACCTCTTTCGTGGTGTGCTTTCTAATTACTTTTGCATCAGGCGTTGGAAAAGCGGCGCTAGAGAGCACGATCGCGAAGGAGCTGTAGAACCAAGCGAGAGGTGGCGAGGACATGAGCTTCACCCACTATCGCCAATCCTGTTGAATCAGAAGGTTTAAACTGACAGGGAAGCATAGCCACCAACTTGCACAGTATGCGATAGAACAGAATTTGCACTTTTTGGTTCTTGGTTTGCACTGAAATACTGCCGATATTGAAGTAGTATATGCGAAACACTGAAAAGCTAGCTTATTTGCCAAAGATGTACAAAATTTAGGAAAGAAGAAGGCATTTCTAAGGTGATCCTTGTTACGTTATTGCTTTCCAGTTATAATTTTGTCTGACCGCTGACGTTTTTGCTGCTCGGATATCCACTATAATTAAACCATGCTCTACAGACTATAGCTGTTGCAGCACAATCCAATATCAACTTTCTAGATGTAATCTGTTTGACCTCAAACTATTTGACACTTTTTGCACAAGCACTGCCTGTTTTCCTTAGTGAAGTTGTCCGCGAAACGTTAATATTTCAATGTTACCGTAGGTACCTGACGAAGGGCTATGTTCTGCTGCGGCGGTGTTTGCAAAAGTTGATCACCTCTTGCGAATTAAACCTTTTGTTAGTGTTTTTTAGAAACAACCGTCATACAGCCAATTCTTACACAAATAACTAGAAAATTTCAGGCTAGTGGCTTGGTATTTAACTGTGTACAACCGGAGCTCAATTGTCAAGGGTCTACCTGTTCTGTTTGCACGGATTTCAACGTTACTCGCTCGTCAGAATTTAGCTCTGAAGATCAATATCACAACTGTATTCCTAAGATCAACTTTATGGATTGGCTCAAGAAGAACTTCGGACAATACCTAACAGCAAAAAACGTGCAGAAAAAGGTGATTAACTGGTTTGAAAAAAATGCGGACGATCTTGAAAGAAATGCTGATTTATTCATCGACTCATTGTTCGATTTTTGAACAAAGTTAAAGGCATGTAGTGTCTTACCAAGACACAGTAATGATTTATTGTAGGTATCGATTTAACATAGTAACAAAACAAAGTACTCACTTATCCGAGTACCCCGAAATTTTTTTGACTTGGATTATGTACTAACTATAATAAATGTATGTCTCTATAGTCTTCGGTAACGCTAGGTTCAACAGGATGATGCAATAAGCAGACTTTGCGACATTATAAGCTTGAAGAGCCAATATAACCTTCATGTTTAGTTTTGTGGCCGTTTTACCATATCATGAAACTTCTTGACAATATGTAAAGAGGAAAAGGAAATCTAGTGACACAAAATGGTTTACTTTATTCTCTTTTAGTTTACAATTTTAACCTGCGCGCCAAAGAGAACATAGTTATTCTTCTCCACGCAAGCTTCTTTTCTTGAAGGCAAAGCATGTAGTGGCATCGATCCAAAGGTGAGAAAGCATAAAGTTCTGACTTGATGGTCGCTCACTTATGGCAAATTTAGACAAGATTTAGCCATTTAGCATGTTTGTGAGCAAACCTTCCAGTTGTAACTCAAATTTTTTAGCTACACATTATGTTATCGCATCCGGAAACCTTGTAGTTAGTGTTGTAAAAAATTGATAATTACATCAGTGGATTTTAAAAAAGGTGAAACTCTTTTCTGTTTTGCTGGAGGTAACGGGCCCTTCCAGGCGTGCCGTCTTTTGAAAATGTTTTAAAGAACTTTGAATACTTAGTGGCAGCGTCTCCACGAAAGATTTGATGACTTTGCTTGCCCGGGAATATCCATATCGCTGGCAACTATGCAGCTTGGAGAGCCTGTCTTAAACGGATTTTCCCCGAAGCTTCCAGATGTGATTTGGAACGTGAGGGCTTAATTCCGCCAAGCGCAGAGCGTGGGCACTATGGTCGCGACTATATGCAATATGAGCGCTTTAGGGTTGGGCTGGATGCGCAGCGCACGTTTCATACGCTCCTTTAATGAAAAATACCAAGCGTACGCTGAGTACTTCGCTTACGCCGCTTTCTCAGCTTAGTCTAGCTTAACCCTTAGCTTGATGTTTGAAGGCAGTGCCCAGTCTTATGAGAATCGCATGTAAAAACGTCGGGTTTTAACTAAGATATTGCTCAAGCAGCAGCGCAGACGCTGCACCAGCGGCTGAGACACTCATCTTCGATCCAAATCCGACACCGTACCTCGTTCTCAGAACGAACAATTTTTCATAGTGGGCGCGCATCCCTGCGCGAAAGCATGAGTCTGAGTTGTTACTGGAAAGCCTTTGTCTAAGAAACGTCATCCTACTCTTTCACCGTCTCATCTGGGATATGTTTCTGCTAAACCCAAGTGTCCAGACCTGCCTATACGCTGTCTTCAAAATTTTAATGTGGCTTCGGTTAGGGCCCAAAATTTTCTGCATGCACAGCTGTATGTTGGCTCAAATCACGTAAAAGTGAAGATGTAATGGAAAGAATAGCCTACCCAGTATCTTACTGTTTGCCCTCAAACAAAGTTTACACGATTTGATCGTCGCGATTCAATCGCTACAAGACAAGTGTCAAGAGTTCATAGCATGCCGATATTCTTGCATTTCAATTGCGATAGTTTTCCAACACGACCAATTATGCCAATTATCACAACCGAAATGCAAGAAGATCGACATGCAACGAACTCATGACACTTGTCTTGTAGCGACTGAATAGCGGCGACCATCGTGTGAACTCTACCTGAGGCCCTAGACTCCTCAGTAATAAAGTCCAAATGTTTTTAGTCTTGGTTTTTCTTGCTTTTTATCAAAGAGTTTCAAATTAAATAAAAAAAAGGCATTAAAGTCAACTTGGAAATTACTATTTTTAGGCTAACTTCTGAGGTAGATGGCTTCAACATTCACTTGATTTAAAAAGAAACGTCTTTTCTTGACTTTTGAGCTCTTTTATAGAGTATCTAGGTGGTTTAACAAGTTGCAACATCAAGGAAATCGACTTGCATTTTAGAAAATCGGAAAACCATTGATCGATGGGTGTCTCTTTGTGTTTTCTTTATTACTAGATATGTTTCAAGTGCTTTCGTTGATTGTTTGAATGCGGCACTCCTTTGCCGGTAAATACCTACAAAAATAAAGAATAAACCAGCGTAAACGAGTTGAATTACAATTAAGACAAACTTCAAGTAGTGGTGACCAACATGCAACATAGGATTCACCAAGTACAAGCTTATATTGGTTATTGGGCCGTACATCTCGGGTCAAACTTAGAGCAGGCTTCGTATGATTTCTCACACTTGCATATCACTAGTACATTTTACCATCCAACAATCTTTTAGAGAGGAGGGGAGATGATGAGTTTTCCCTATAGCCTAACAATCTGCCCGCTTACTTTTCAAGCTCTTCCAAAAGTCATAATGGAGTTCTCCACAAAGGACTAGTTACAAATAAGTGCTGCTTCATATGTTGGTAATCGCATAAGATGGAAGGGATTTTTCTGCAAAGATGCACATGCTTTTTGGGAAAAAAGATTACCTGTTATTAGCGAAGAATATTCTCACACTCCCAAATAAATTTTAGAGTGTTTCTTTTTTACCGTTTTACCACAACTGTCGTCTTTTTGTATTTATCCTTCAAGTGATGTTTCTTGAGCAATCATTCGACAAGGCAAAGCAAGCCTTAAAAAATGGCTATGAAAAGTCCACCCAAATTGTTTTCCACATGAAGTTTTGAACTGAAATCTGATAGCAGTCAGAAGCAGACTTTACCGTCAAAAATCGTATATCTGCCCCTGAAAAACCTTGAATTTCTTATTCTTAGCATGTGCTTAATTCATCAACATTCAACTGCGCAATTTTTCGTATTTTTTCCGAACAAAAAAAAAATATGGAATAAAATAGCAACCCCCCCCCCCTAGAAATCCTAAGCTCTTCCTACTCAGACATATAGAAGCACGATATGTATTTGTGCCCTTTGTAAGTGCCTCAGTTTTCGAAAAATGCTCACATTCAAGTAAAACGGTAAAAGAATTATGAGACACCCTAATAATATAATATTGGTGGGCGGCCCATTGTTAGTTCATTTTCATATGTGCACAGCTTTCAGTAACCCTCGTTTATCAAGTCAGCATAGTTTTAGATTAATGTACCTTGTACTTCACTTGTATGATGATTCACCTGTTGATATAGTTGAAAGCGCATTTGGAAATATAATGGATTATCATACAGTTCGGAAAGCTTCTCCGGCTCTTTGGTTTTTCCATAACTCCTCCATTCCAATTTACCGTTTCTTTTTAGCATATAGTAGAACCATGCTTGTCATGATGTACACACAATACAATCGCAATCTACACTGCTTTTAATCTCCTTTTTTCTGTGTAGATAACAATAAAAATCTTATCCATTTTTTCATGTCTCCCATGACGCATTTTCATCGATTTGAAGCTTATGATTACTCGATCTCGAGATATCCTACCTGCATTCTCTTGAACTAAATGGTTAAAAACAAAACGATTCAGTCTACTCGAAAATAAAAACTGTTGTGCTACTCAATTAGTGGCAGCAAATAGTTGCTGTAGGTATTTACACTATCAGTCACAATCTTGTTACTCACGGCGTGACATTGTGATCATAGTTTTCATGGAACTGCTCACCATTGAAAGTTAAGCGCTGCCTTGTAACGCTTGCAATTCAACCAAACATGGCTTAATAAATGCCCGATAGCTTCTTCCATTTTCCACTACATTCAAATCAAAAAGCTCATTCCAGTCATTACTCTTTTCAAGCGCCGGAAAGATTTTTGAACCTGTTTTTTACCTTAGCCAAAATCACTGAATTTTTGCCACAAAATATTCCCAGAACTTCCCTCTCGGAAGCGCATTGCAGACAAGGAAAGCAGACTTAAAATCAGGGTTTCATGCTCTATAAGTTATTATATATTTGATATGGAAAACCCACTTTTTGTTAGACCAAGTATGCTCCCCTTGTGAAAAGGAGGTAAAGAATAGAAGTAATAATAAAATGGTAAGAATGAGTCGTCGTTTGAAAAGACGATAAATCAATAAGCAATACACAGAACACCTTTGGCTCGCATGCACGTACATCCTCGAGGGGAAGGAGAGGGGATCTGAGAGGGGAGGCGTCATATCTCGCCACTTTAAGTACTT